ACTCTCTTGATTACTTCCTCCACATGAGTTTCCTTTTTGTATCAGAATAAAACATATTTCCTGTTATGAACTAAGAAAATTCTTACCTTTTGAAAAAAAAAATACCAACCATAGTAGATGGTCCATCTCATATCTATTTTTTTGGATTTCAAACTTACCTTTGTTTCTTCAAACAAAATTATTGACTCTTAATACCTAATATTAATGGGTCGTTTACTAAACGTTTATCCAGTAAGTGCTTACTGAGTAATTTTCTTTACCGGATGAACATCGCAAGAGTCAAAAAACTTACCCGGTAAGAGCAATGATAAAGATGAAAAGTCTTACTCGGTATGTGAATGTGATGACTCGTACCCAGGTAAGCACTTACCGGATAAATTAGTGCATACGATATCATTTTGATGTACTATAATCTTACCCGGTAAAATAATTTACAATGTTAACTCGTAAAGGTAAGAGCTTATCGGGTAAGCATTTAGGTAAACGGCCCCTAAGTACCTAAATCTTAAGGATTCCTATATGTATAAAAAACAATAAGATCTCAAACTATAATTGACACGAGCTTTTGATTTTAAAATTAATGGTTCCGAATAACTTTGTTATAATCCTAAAATTTTAAAAAACAGTGATGAAAAACACTAATATACTGTGAGATAAACCGAAATTGATTTATTGTTTCACACAAAATATTACTCTGATTGATCAACATTACGACTTGAATGATGTTGACCTACGTATGAAAGGTAGATGCATTATAAGGGCATCTCCAGTGCATGACACTCTACCAGAGTGTCATGGACTATCACATCAGCATTCCACTCACCATACAACTCTATCATTTTATACCCACACTCCATAACACTCCAATGAGTTTAATGGATTTCCACATCATATATATATATATATATATATATATATATATATTATCTATAAATATAATTTTACCAACAAATTTAAAAATCTACTAAAAACAAGGAATAATACATTAAAATGAAAATGAAACGAAATTAAAATACATTTAATAAAAAGTACGAGACTAAAATACATCAGTTGAAAAGTACCAAAGCTAGAAAATGAAATGCTTAAACACCAAATAATTTAAAACTATAAAACCTAAACGCATATTAAATAAAAAACGACGATGCCTACAAATTATATTTTATTTTGATCTCTTCACAACGCATATTATGTTGTTTTTATAAATTAAGAAAAATAAAAATAAAAATTAATTTATTGATTAATAAATATCATATTATAGTGTGTGTATATATATATAATATCATAATTAAATCCTTACAAATTTAATTATAAAAAAAATAAATAAATAAAGGGTCCTATTTTCCTCCATGATGTGTATCATCCCCATTGAACTCCCCTCCCATTACACTCTCCATGACACCCTTCACAATGCATGAGGGGTGTCATGGTTCCCATTACACTCTCCATGGCACCCTATTGGAGATGCCCTAAGACATTTTTGATGATGGATCATTTGACTATGCTCAGTGTTGAAAAATATATACTACATAATATTGATTTAAAGACCATTATTGATTGAGAGACACTAGGATTATTAAAAGAAATTAATTGTTTTTTTCTTTATGAATTATTACTATGTCTTGTAATCAAATTTATTTTTGATGATTACACAATTTATTGAAGATCTTTATTATTTGATATTGATTTTTTTATATGTATTTTGTCTATTAAATGTCAGGAAAGGGTTTGGCTCCAGAGCATCTCATAGCAACGTTCCGGTCATAAACAACCAACATGAGTGTAAACATGATGCCAGGGTTGTGTCTTGAAGTCGTGTCGTGTTTTATCAAAGCATTGCTCAATGCACAAATTCAGTATTTAGTTGGCTTACTTTTAAGACATTACGACAACTCAATTCGTTAGGTTTGGGTATGATTGGCCTTTTTGCTATTTTCAGTTATATATACACACACACACACACACACACACACACACACACACATATATATATATATATATATATGGTATAATGCGATATAGGGTTGGGTTTCAATGAGAAAAATAGTTAATTTGGGAAAGCATTAGAAGGAATCTCCGTCCTTGGATACATATTAGGATGAGATGCATCGAGATTCAACAAATCAATTCTCATATCAAACACAATTCATAAGTGAATTTAAGATTAAAAGTGATAAGGATCTTCAGACCCGTTCCAGACATTTTTTAGGCCCTGGGCGAGATGTGAAAAAGATTCATCAATAAGCACGATATTTTTTCAATATATTGTTTTTATCATCAGAAATAACATTCAATTCATATAAAACAATTTTTCCGAGTAAACCTAGACACAACATCAATCAATAATCATTTATAAATTAATATTATCTACTAGAACATTTTTATGTAGCATCGTCAATTTGTTCCATCATAAAAAACATCCTATGATATATTTTTAGTACATAGAATGACATCATTAAATTTGCAGTCACAAAGTTAATTATTCTGATTTCCGAATAACATTATGTAAATCAATGTAAATAAGTTGGTTTTCCATGTCATCTCATGTTAATGTTTTTTAACACTGTTTTATACTTTTATATTATATTTTCGAATTTGGGAAGGAAAGAAAAGAATGAGGAAAGAAAAGAAAAATAATTTTTTTTATTTGTGTTTTTAAGAGAAAAGAGAGAGGAAGGGAAAATGATGGGGAAAAAAAATTCGATATAATTTTTTTCCTTTCCTTTTCTTTTTCTTTCCCTAAGAAATTCTTGAAAACAAAATATTTTTTTCCCCTATTACTTTCCTCTCTTTCCTATGTAAAAGAAGACTCAAGAAACATAGTGTTAGGGTTAAACAATTTTTTTGGAATTTCAATCTTATAAATAAAAGAACTCATGTTAGTAATAGTTTGGGATTTTATTATTCTTTTAGATATAGAAGAGTACATAAGATTTATATATTTGATATTAGATAATAAAGAATAACTATGAAAAAACAATTATAGTTTTATTATTCTAAATATAGATATAAGTTGTACTGTCTCATATGGTTGATAATTTTTTCAAAAGATGAGGATTTTGTTAGCTAATAACAAAAAAATCTAGTATTCTCTAATATAAAAGTAGAATTCAAGTGAGAATGGAATAATCAAAAGAGTCGATCAAAGATAAATTATAGATAATATATCAAGGTTTTCAAGGCAAGTAGTTTTAGATTAAATAATATTATATAATGAATGACAAATTAACCTTTTTATGTATTTTTCTGGATCTTTAATAGTTGATGTAATGCAAAAATCTTTTTCTAATCCTATTAGATACTAATTTTTTTTTTATGTCTCTTCTATTTATTAATTTTTTTGAACTACTATTATATATACTAAAAAAATTTGGACCACTAATTTTTGTGGGTCTGAACGTACCCACGATACACCCTCCCCGAAAACGGCCCTGAATCTTGATCGCTTTTTACACTTCTCATACCAACTTTGCTTCTCGCACATTCCTCTATCATGAGACATAATTGATTAGATATACACATTCTATCTTTATACATACCATTTTAGTACTAATGAATTTTTAAACGTTTCCGAAAACAAAAAGGATCGAAACACGGAGGATACCCGTATTTCGTGTTCACTTTCCCCACCACCAGCTGTATGACTTGTTACATATAGACCCCTTGCATTTTTTATAATTTCAAAAATATCACTAAAGTTTTGATTATTAAACTTGTATACCCTTTTTCTCCCTTCAACTTTTCACCGACCTCGTGCTATTTTATTTCTTTTCACGTTTATGTTGTGTTCTCGAGTATTTTCCTTTTTTTAAAAGAAAGGGAAGGAGAGAAAGAAAAGCGGAGGGGAAAGAAAAAATCTCGTGTTTTCGAGTTCTTTTTAGGAGGGAAAAGAAAAAAGCTGACTTTCCCTATAAAACTTTTTTTTTCCAAATATGGGAGGAAAGAAAAGAAGAGGAAAAAAAAATAAAAACTAAAATACTTATAACTTACACATTTGCCTATTAATTACATTCATTTGTAAAATAAATAAAGATATATTTGTAAAATTGACATATTTTCTTTTCTTTCTCAATTGTTAAGAACATAATTTTTTTTCATCTTCTTTCATTTTTTCCTTCGTTTTCAAAAACACAGATAAAAGTTTTTTTTCTTTTCAAATTCGACATCACGACTTATGCGAATTTAGAGCAAGGGTTTTATTTGTTTTATTAATTTCTTACCATTAATATCATAATATTTTATAAAGTATTCATTTATTATATTTAAGAAAATTCAAAATACTAAGGGGTCGTTTACTAAATGATTTACTCGGTAAATGCTTATTGGGTAATTTTTCTTACCAGATGAACATGGTAAGGGTAAAAAATCTTACCCGGTAAGAATAATGATAAAGATGAAGATTCTTACTCGGTAGGTGAATGTGACGACTCTTACCCGAATAAGCGCTTACTATGTAAATTATTGTATATGATACTATTTTGATGTACTACAATCTTATCCGATAAAATAAATTACAGTGTTGACTCCTATGAATAAACACTTACAGAATAAATATTTAGGTAAACAGTCCCTAAGTAAATCCTTTTTGGATTAAAACAATATCTTAGAAATAAAAAAAAATAAGGAACAATTTTACTATGTGAGAGAAAAAGGTTTATTTAAACTTGTCTTTTTTTAAATTAAGTAGCAAGTGAAAGTCATAATTTGATGGAATTAATTAAATTAAACGTTGAGGGGTTAAACTTTCAAAATTGATATTGTTAAGGGATTTCAGTTAAACAAAGCCAAAACATAAAGGGTCTAAATGCAAATGAAATACTTTTATTTTTCTTTAATTTGATATTGCTCAATTCGTAATCCTAACCGTCCATTTAGATTCAGCCAACAGATGGTCAAAAAAGTCATTTTGTTGAAACTCTCTAGGAAACGCCTATGAACCCTCGTGGAAACACAACCCTTGCAACTCTATAAATACAACATTAGAGCACACACTCAGAACACCAAGATTTCCCCAAAAAAACACACACACACACAATACAGAAAATGGAAAACCGAAAAAGACCATTGACCATGGCAAACGGCTGCAAGAAACACCCGAAACACCAGCAATCTCCCGGAGTTTGTTCATTGTGCTTAAGAGAAAGATTATCAAAAATATCGAGTTCTTCATCATCGCGGGCGGTCAGGGATGTTCCTTCGTCGTCGTCTTCATCGTCTGTTTCTTCGGTATCTTCGGTTTCTTCATCTCATTGCTCATCCAATGCTCAATCTCACATGGCATCTCCGATGCATGGTCATCGAAATCCACGTAAAACTTATGATTTTGACGACGAGAATTCAAAAGGGTATGTTTCTTTAATGAAAAAGAGTCGATCAATGGCCTTTTTTAGTGAAAAAATGGTGGAAAGTGATGGGAAAAAGAAGAAAAAAGATGGGTTTTGGTCAAAGTTGATGATGGGTTCAAAGAGAAGTCATAATACACAGAAGAAGAGATCAAAGGAATTAGAGGGTTCTTCAAGACTCATGCATTCAAGAACTATGAGAGAAATGTTGAATAAATGGGTTTGATTTTGATTTTGATTTTGAATTTATTCTTTAATTCAATTTGTAGATGAAAGTATATCATTCATGGAGAAAAGGAGTGAGTCAAAATAATACAACAAAAAGATTAAAAATAATGTGTTTATGTATTTCAATTTGCCAAAGGTAACCTTTTACATTTGTACAATTAATACAACTCAATGTTAACCGTTCATTTAATTTGATGAATATGTGATTTCATAATTAATGAAATCTAGTCATCTTTTATAAATATTTAAATCATAATAAATGAACTCTCATCTTATAAATATCTCAATTGATTGGGTTAAATTGATTGTACAAATATAATGAAATATATTTGAAACTTGCTTTCTATACATATATGCATATATTATAAATAGATATTTATTGTACGTGGAAGTGTATATGACAGTTGTTTTTGCTGTGTCAAATGGTTTCTAAATTATTTTATAGACTACAGATATAGAAAATGTATATTTGGTACGGACTTATAGAATTAAAAAGTACTGCAGCTTGGCTGTCGACACCCAGTTTCCCAAGAAATCGTGTGCGGTTTGGTTGCAATTAGGTCAGATTTTCTAACCACTGGCACTCGGCTCGAAACTTCTACTTTCCCACTTATATCTATTATAATTCATTTTTCCATTACATAAATACAGGAGCTATTTACATTTTTTATTCATATGCTTTGGAAAATGTGGATATCGTTCTTATTATTTAAAATTTTCAGCTTTTTATTTTTGTTTTGATCTTGCTACATATAATATTTGCTTCTTAGGGGTTCTTTGGTTTGTTTTATGTTAAGACTTGTATGGATATAACTATCTGTAAGTTGTATGTATGTTAACAGATAAATTGTTGTGTTAAATATACAGTTTGAATGTCAGAAAAAAATCATTTTACCCTTCGGTCTATATTTTTGTCCCATTAAAACAATGATTAGATAAGAATATTGGAAGAATGACATTGAAATATAAAGAAAAAGAGTGAATTACAATCAAATCTATTAACCTTTATGCGCCCCTCATGAGGGGGCAAATATGTCATTTTATCTAAATCACCTTCTAAAAAAGGTGAAAATAGAAACCCATATCATATTCCCGTCCAAAATCCAACCCTCCCCCAAAGAAAGAAGAACGAATCCTCCTTCCATGAACCCCCTGTTTTGTTGCCTCTCTAGTGAACCCCACCCCTATCCCTATCTTCGAAAAGTTCGAACCATGAAGAAGATCATAGAAATCAAAAGACCTAAGGACCTAGAAATCGTGAAGTTGAAGATGAAATCAAGAACTATATCACCGATGAGTTCGAATCTAAAATCCAGACAGTTTTCGAAGGAACTATATCACCAATGAGTTTAAATCTCAAATCCAAAAACCTAATAGCTAGAAAAGGGTCTATTGGAGAAGGATGGAATGAACTTAGGGAGGAGGAGACGTGTTGTTTTCCAAGAGTATGGAGGGAAAAGGGTCAGCTACGTGTATATGACTCTACTTTTGTAGCTGAGAGATTCAATCATAGGCTGACCGAATAAGCCCTATACTGAACAACTAGATATGGTTGTGCGAATAAGTCATATGACTTATACAATTCATTAAGCCGCAACTGAACAACCTCTTAACCTACACAACTATCAAAGAGGTCCCATTAAATAACCCAGGTACTAAGTATATAAGAGTAATTTGTTTACTTATTTTCTTACTATTTTTTTGTTGTATAAGGTTGAATTTGCATATTAATAAGTTTGAACTATATTTCCAAAAACAAAAACCATATTAATTAACCCCCATCCCGACCCCCACCCATCTTCCTCCCCCGTGTTTGTCGACCTCCCCCATATCTAGTGAAACACCTTGTTCCCCCCTCCCCTCCCCTCCCCTCCCCTCCCCTACTTCACTTTCCTCATTCTCCATCACCGTAGTACTCTACTCTCTTTCCTCAGCCGCCTTTGCATTGTATTCTTCATCCTCCATTTCACTCCTAATGATAAAAACATTTAGGGGTTGTTTGGTTTGTTTTTCATTAAGTCATATATGGATAAAGTTGTCTGTGTGTATTAATTTTGAATAAATTGAAAAAAAAATTCATAGATGAAAGGAGCGTATTTTTTAACTGAGAGGGACAAGCTTGGAAAAAAAAACTTGACATCTGCATAAAGCTCCCACGGCCCCCTTAGAAGCTTATTGAATACGTCATTTTTTATATCATGTCATTACTAAACAATCATATATAGTTGAGCGAATAAGCCGAGCCTCGTTAAGTTCATTAAGCTGCTAACAAAACAAAAATGCCCTTAAACCCTACAAAACTATGGAGACAAGGAATGTTGTAAATGCGATTAAGTTTATTTCCAAATCGATTAGTGCTTATAAACTATCATGAGTAACATAAGATTTGCATAATAAAAAAATTTAGGAAGTGAAAACATTGATTGATCAAGAAAAGAGGTGCCAAATTGAAGGTTCATGGCAATGTGATGGGTAGGAAACAGGTGAAGAAGATGTTTGTTATTGGCAGTGGGTAAAACCCAGATGATGCAAAACAAGAACAATTAATTGATTTTCTAACTTGTTAACACCAAATCCATGCCACCGCCCACCCCATCTCGTCTTTATCTTCCCAAACTCCCCAAAACACCGATACCCGTTGGTCTTCCACTAACCTCTACCCACTTCCTCCCTTCTGATATCAAGTTTCTACAATAAGAACCCACTATTGGCTCTGTGATATGCACCCAACTAACCATGGTTTATGACCGGAGAAGGGATTTCTTTGATGTGTGTGTATGCATATTCCATATGTTGTGAGCGTGCGTGTTTAATCCGTTTTGTATATGAGAGAGAGATAGGGGAGAATGGTGGTTGTGATAGATGAGAATTACATTTTGGCAACCGGTGAAGAAGACGAGGTCGAGGTGAGATGTCTTCAGCATCCGGCACCATTCAGCTAGAATGAAACCCTTTCGCCGATGACCACCGTCCCTCAGTTCATTCTCCCATGAAATACAGCATAAGTTGCACATACATCAATCACCAACCATGAGACCCATCCCCTCACCACGACACCAACTACTACCTGCAACTTCTTTCCATTCTCTCCTCTTTTCTTTTATGTGTTCATAGTGACATTACAAAACAAAACAACACACGTGACACAACTCGATAAACCAACAAAACCACCATTGTGTAACCACCACTGTCAAACCCACCATTCGCCACCATGTGTAAGTGAAATTTTACAAAATTTTGTATGTGAAAATTTCCAAATTGATAGATAAAGAAACTCTAGACAACCTTATAAGGCTTTCTCTAGAATTGGGCTTTGAACATATGAGTAGACTCATCGTGGGGGTCTTGAGTGGAAGGCCCAACGCACACGCATGGCCGTGGCCGAGGCCGAGGACGCGGGATTCGCGAAAGTGGAGCGAGGAGGCGCACTTTGCACTTTGCACGCCGCATTGGAGCAGAAGGAGCCTCGCCCCGAGCGTACAAAGTCGAGAGAGAAGAAAAATAATTGAATTTAAAATCGATTTTAAAACCGATTCAGCCACGTTTTTAGAGATAATGATCGTTGGAGGATAATCCTCCAACTTCTCCATGATCATGCGAGATATGGGGAGAAGATCATGCGAGATATCGTGGCCTCGCCTAGTATAAATACTGGGTTGAAGCCAAACCTAAAAAATACTCTCCAAAATTCAGTTTTTCTTTTTATCGATTGTTGTTCCCGTTTACCCTTTTCCTCTATCAATTTTCTACATACACCTTGCTTTGATTTTGATATCAAAGCTGTTGATATTCGAGATCTGGTTCTGTATCAATCATGGGGCTTTGCGACTTTTGAGACCGACAATTTATATGTTGGTCGTATAAAACCTTTATGGACAGGTTTTGTACCGTGAAGGTCTCTACCTTTATGTGCTTCCAGATAACCAGGTTGGTATTTCATTTTTTTCGACATTGTATTTAATTTTCATTCACTTTGTGAATACTCTGCTTCTACCCCTTTCTACCATTGAGTCTATCGCGAAGGATAGATTCAAGTGGAAATATTGGTTTGGTTTCGATTCCGATCTTTAGTTTTCTATGTCGACCTATAAAGTTCTTTTAATAAATCTTGTTTTTGTAACTTGTTAAATAAAGTTCTAAAATTTATTTATAAAGATTTTATATTATTGATTTCTAATCCTTTTAATTAAAAAAATTCAACAATCTTAAAGGTTATATAATGGACTCCGACAATTTTCGAATCATGAATCAAGATCTAGTCAAGCTCGACAGTATAAACGTGATTTAAATCTAGGTATAAATATAGGTTGAAAATGCTTGCTTTTAAGTATTTTATTAGAATCATTTAATACATTTTTATTATCTATAAAACAAAATAACTAATTTTATGTAACTTACATAAATATTTTTAAAAAATTTATATTTACTTTTTGATAAWTAAATATATTAAATAATAATTATAAAAATAATTAATATGATTAATATTATTGTAAATAATTAATATTAATGTATATCGTATAATGTATGGTTATATTTATTAATATAGTAATAATTTATTTTATTTAATATTTATTAATATAGTAATAATTATTTTGATTTAATATTTATTAATAATTAATATTAACTATAATATTTATTTATTATTAATAGTAACAAATAATAATTAATATTAATGATGGTTATAATTGGAAAAAGCCACAATAAGCTCCTAAAATACTATTCCGAGTAATTTTTCAATAAGCTAGCTTATATGCTAATTTGTAATCATCCAAACATGTATCTAAAAAATAAACTAACTTATTTTTACCAAACAATACTTTTAATCAGACCAAGATTTGTACTTTTTATGCATCTCTTCATGTAACACACTAAGAGGTCTTCATGTCATGGCATGTTATGACATGAATCTCTTAACATATTTTTGACTTTATAACTTTTTTTCTTCCAAGTTTGTGTTATTTTTACTTTAGGGTTATTAAACATACCTTATAAACATTGATACATCTCCCATTGTAATACTCAAGAATTACATTTACATATAAACATATATTTTTATATATCAAGAAATATAATTTACACAACTTGTCACACTATTCACAAAAACTATATTACAAAATAGCTACCAAATTTTTCCACAAAATCTCTAGACAAAACTTGTAACATAACAAATTCGCACATACAAAAGATAACATGATATCCTTAATGATAATTATATAGAACTGTAAATATTTTGAGAACCAACTATTCAAGATTATATGCATAAACATTTGTGAATATATATTCATCATATGTATCAACTATTATCATTCATGAATATTCATCATGAATATTTACTATGATATTCATCATGAATAGGTGGTTTGCTTCTCGTGTTTTTCTCAAATGAACCTGCCTCTAATGAACAAGTTGGTAAATTTTGACATCAAAACTTCAATCTTACCCTTTCGTGACCCCACTCATGTGGGATTTATTGAGTTCATTTGGTTTCACATCAAAACCTTGTAACGTGTAACATTTATGGAAATTAACATATGTGTATAGTTGTTATTCAATTGAAAAGGTGAGCGACAAGATGGATCCGAATGCAGGGCCGTCCTTGGGGGAGGGGCGGCACGGGCGCATGCCCTGGGCCCAAAAATATCAGGGGCTCAAAAATAGTAGTCTAAAAGAATTTAATAAACTAAGGAAACCAAAAAAATCGTAGCATATAATAAGACGCAAAAAGATTTTAATAGATAATAAGGACCCAAAAATATATCAACTAATTACATTGGAAAAGAAAAGTAAAAAAAATTAATTGGTCATTCATTAGATGCTATTGTTTATTGTCTCTCTAATTTTTTTTATCTCCAACAAGGTCCAATGATATTGGTTATTGTTATCTCTATATGATTGATTATTTTCGTGCTTCAACAATTCAACGTTAAGATCATGTGCTTACTATTGCTATATATTTTTGTTGGATATTTTTATCAATTTTTGCTTCTATTGACTATTGCTATTTGGTTATCTTCTTTTAATTGTTTTTATTGACTATTGTTATCTATTTTTGTTTCTACATAAAATATTTTACTATTGTTTGACAATCAATTTATTGTTCTTATAATTTATGACGTATTTCATGGTTTTGTGATTAATCAATAATTTTTTTCTACTAGATGTATTTAGTAATGTCTCTTATATATGTCATGTTCCATAAATTTTTAATCTTAACATCTTATTTTACTTGAACAAAAAAAAGGAAAATAATATTTAAATATTTGTTGAGCTTGCATATTATATGGTTAGTTCTTATTGGATCTCAATAGATCATCTTTTCTTTCATATTCTTATTGATCCTCATTTGTCTACTTGTCTATAAAACTTTGATAATCTTCTTTATTATTGATCTCTCATTGACCCTAACGATTACTTCATTCACATAAATTCTCTTTTTGTATCAAAATAACACATATTTCTTGTTATGAACTAATTTTCTTTTTACTTTTTATAAAAAAAATATCAACCATAGAGTCTATACTCTTGGTTTCAAATTACCTAATAATAAGTACATAAATTTAAGTACTCTCTTATATATAATAAAGATAAATAAGATTTCTTTTCTCAGTAAATTATTAGCATTTATTGTACTCAATTTTATACTAATAAAAAACATTTATTGAATTTGTTTTCGTACTTACTGAGGGTCACTACAAGAAAAGTGAGCTTTGGCAATACGCTTTTTAGCTATGACATGTTTTCGCCACAAGTTATAACGACGACATGTTGTTATATACTCTTTCTGATTATAAATAGACTTGTAGCGACGACAAAAGTCAATCCTAAAAGCCTTGTTTTCTTACAGTGGGCCTTGTTTTGCCGTTAGCCCAGGGCCTATAAAATATCATAAACGGGCCTGTCCGAATGAGTTGGTGAAGTTGATAGACATTTTGAATCATGACAACAAAGATGGAAGGATTACCATAATAACACGAATGGGAGCAGAGAACATGAAGGTCAAACTTCCTCATCTTATTAGAGCAATTCGAAGAGTTGGTCAAATCGTTACTTGGGTATCTGATCCTATGCATGGCAACACCATCAAGGCTCCCTGTGGCCTTAAGACTAGTTCGTTCGATGCTATCAAGGTAAACTTTACATTGCATCACAACTTACACACTCAATCTTAATTTAGAAGGTGTCATAACCATTTTATGTTTCTTGACAAGCAACCTCTCTATCTTTTGAGACAGAGGCCAGGTCAATATGCATGTTACCCCTCTCATACCTTATCTCTTAGTGGGATCAGGGTTTGTTTGGTTTTAGATAAAACTTTTCATGGTTTCTGAGATGTGGTGATTTTCTATATTTCTTGACTAAACAACAGGAAAGAAGTAAGGACTGCCTACATATTACACCTCCAGTACCTTATCTTCAGGTGGGATATAGTGGGGTTACTTTGTTTGGTTTTAGATAAAAACTTCTCATGGTTTGTGGGTGGTGGTGATTTTTTGGGATCATGGTGTCAATACCATTATATATCCTCATAAACAGTCTCTCTATCTAAAAAGATGAAGGTAAGGTTTGCTTACATCTTACTCTTCCTAGACCGCATCTCCAAGTAGGATATACTGAGATTACTTAGTTTTAGATAAAAACTTTTCATTTGTTGATGATCTAACAACATTAACTATTAGGCGGAAGTGAAAGCCTTCTTTGATGTGCATGAACAAGAAGGAAGCCACTTGGGAGGGGTTCATCTTGAAATGACCAGACAAAACGTGACTGAGTGCATTGGTGGATCAAGAATTGTGGCGTTCGATGGTCTTGGGTCATGCTACCACAGCCGCTGCGACCCTAGACTCAATGTCTCCCAATCGTAAAGCTTGGTTTCATCATCATAGAGCGAAAGAGGAGAATGGATGTTAAACAATCATTGGTTTAGTGAGTTGGTTCAAGAACATTTATGTTGTTTTTCTTCGTAAATCATATGATAATTAATAATGTTCTGTTTTTTTAAGAAATTTTTTATGAGAGAAGATATGTTTTTGTAGTTGTTTCATTAATTGTTCAAGAACATTTATGTAATGTTTTCTTCATCAAATATGAATTCTATAAACTTTTTTGTTGTATAAACTTCATCCCATAACATAATCCTGAAATTATTACTATTTCAAAAATGGGTTTTTCTTAATTTTTTAAAATATAAATTTAAAACTAAATTATTTAATTTACATAAAAATACCACAAAATAAATCAAATACAATAGTTAATATTATAATAGTGAAAATAAAGCAAAATAATTTTAATTAAATTAACATTGCAATATTGAAATTAAAACAATAATGAAAATGAAATAATAAACTACTCACTTCAAACTGTAGCAATTTTTTGAAATTTTTTTTTTGACTTTTTTAATAATACAATATTTTTTAATTCATTAACTATTTCGTAATATAGTTGCTTTGAATCCTAATAAATTTTAAATAAAAGTTTTATTAAGGGGTGTTTGGGATTGCTTATAAAAACAACTTATTGACTTATCTCGGTGTGACACCGATAATAAACACTTTTGAGTGTTTGGAGTTTTTGAAAAAGTTAAACCCTCCTGATTTATAATAAGTTGATAAGTGCTTTTATAGAAAAGTATAAGTTGTTTCAAATAAGCAATCCCAAATCCCCCCCAAGAAGCAAGCAGAATCTCCCTTTTTTTAGAGTAAACTTGGATTTTTTTTATTAACCTGGATATCCAACCCGCTATGTGAGTCGACTAATCTCAAGGCGACCACCTGCTTTGCAGATAGATCGAAGTCACCACATTTGAACCTTCGTGGCCACAAAGGGGATTTATTCCTCCTTAGATTTGAACTTGGGACCTCCAGGTACTTTTGACCTTTGGAGCCAAACTCAAACCAATCATTCAAAAAATTAGTCTAAGAACTTAATCATTCAATCAAATAGTTTATTGGGTTTTTTAGACTTTTTCCCCAAGAAAAAAATATAATAATTTTATTAAATTACAAGAACAAAAATACCAAAAAAGAAAAATCAATCAAAAAGACTAAAATACCCCTAAGTTAATGGAGAATTTTAATACATTTAGTTTCAAGGACGAAAGCAATAATAAATTACAAACCATAAAGATGACCGTAATCTTTCTCAAATCATAGGGACCAAAATCGTAGTTTACTTTTTCTTTTTAATGTATTGAATATTTATATACAACAAATAATCAATCCACTCTCCATCTATGGTGTTATACCGGTTATCTACATATCAACCGATCAATAACCCTTTAAAAGACACGTTTTTTCATATACAATTCAATTTACGGGGGAAAGGGGTCTTGCAATAGAGAAGGTTCTCCTCTTGCAATCGAGAAGGAAAGTTTGATCGCTTCTTTTGTAGCATTTCTAGCACAAAATGAAACCATTAAGCCAGCGTTCGGTACACATATATGATTGGATTAGACTGGACAAAATCGGACAAGACAAGACTGCACAAAACAAATGTTTGTCTGATATTTGTTACGAGTAGGAATGGACATTGAAATTTTGATGTTGTGTATTGTAATGAATACATCATCTTTTAGAGGGAAAAGGGTAGGATTTTTTTATTTTTAAATTAATGAATAAAATGTAACATATCTTTTATTATAATTATATAAATCACAACCAAATTACGCAATTTGTTTATAATGTGTTGAATTCCTCATGCCCATTTTGTGGAATTAATTTTCATATGCATAGTGTGAAATGTAGAACCTGAAGGTATAAATTGTAATAATCAACAAATTTAGAGGGCGTTGTTTGAAAATTACACGCATTCATCTTCACGTCAACAGGAATCCGATCCTCAGCCGCACGCGGCGAATCCGCGGTTAAGAAAACAGAAAGCATCACCCCACGCGCCACCGCTCAATTGCCTAAACATTACGCAGAAGTCGCGCCTTTTTTCGCTACAATATAGATACGAGTGAAGAAAGTAGATAGACAGAAATTGAACCCCCTGTTGAATTTTCAGATTAAGGTGCCGATCTATGGAGGTCGACGGGAGAGATCGGAGACCTGATGCTCTTGGAGATCTCTACGTTCTTTCCGATGAAATCGTTTGTTCAATACTGACTTTGCTTTCACCTCGTGATGTCGCTCGTCTTGCTTGTGCTAGCAGGTTTTTAAATTTCTCGCACTTGGTTTTGTTCCAATTTTGAAATTTCTTTACATCATGTGTATTGAAGTAAGAAAGGTATGTAAAAAGGGGCCAACTTAAATGAGATATGCTAGCTTCTTTTATGTTCGACATTCTTGGCAATACATTATCCTAAAGGGTCTTGAGGGATGATCCTACATATGAAGGGGCTCGATTAGGATTAGAATGATTGTATGTAGTGTGATTTACGTACTCCTTTTAAGTCTGTGACTTTGTGTTGGTTTGACAAAAACTGAACATAGATCAATCAAAGGCATTACTGCATATTTTTGGATTTCTGGAGTTTTATAGGACCTACCCTTCTAGGATGATCGCCAAAGTAGTCGTCTTGTTACTGCCTCCAAGCTCATTGAGTTTATGTTGATGTTAGTCAACCAATGCTGGAGCTCATCCCTGTGATCTGCATCTAGAGTAACAACCAGCTGAATACTATAAAAGCTTGTTTTAGAGAGTTTTTTAAGTGTTCTAGTGAAGTGGTAAATCTCCTTTATAGATTTTGTTTACCTTCTATAACCCGAGTGCTACTCTTCTATTATGCTGAAGACCCTCTTTGGGAGTTACTTAAGGACTACATGGATTGTTATACCCGAATCCCTACTCTTACACCCCAAGTTGTTATGCCATGTGCATTCATGTTGGGCTCTTTCTTGCCCTATGACTATGACCATCACCGATATGGGGCTTTTAGTCTACTTATTCTAGATCCGTGTCTTATAAAGTTGCTCTTGACATCTTTTGGTATTCTACCCTAATAGTTATGATACTAGTTCAACATGCAACACCTTTCAATAGCCCTTTGAAGATGAAAGGGAATTCTTTGGTATATATTTTACACTTCGCTTCTGTGTGTGCTTGCTGAGCTAGAGATCTGCTTGACATGAAGTCACTCATTTTATGGCATGTGGCTTGTGATTTGTGACTGTTATGACAGAACTTAGAATTCTAGGGTCAAGACTTGAGAGTTTAGAATAGAGAACAAGAGGGCAATTGGTAGGAACTAGGAAGTTGGGAGCACAAGGGTTGTTGGTACATTGTTTCATTGTTGAGTGTCTGCTAAATTTGGGTTATGGTGTGCAGTGTGATGTATATCTTATGCAATGAAGAACCTTTGTGGATGAACTTATGCCTTGATAAAGAAAATCTTCAGCTTCAGTATAAAGGATCCTGGAAGAAAACGACACTGCATGGGTATGTTTTAAGAATATATATATGTGTGTGTGTGTGTGTGTGCTGCTGTTGTGTTTCCTTTAATACAAACTATATGAGGGTTTGTCCAAGTAACATCTGTGGAAGAATATGATATTAATGCTCCTTCTCATGTGGCTGCAGACTTCAAGTTCTGAGTAAATGTGATGACCCCTGCAAAAAACCACTACACTTTGATGGTACTAGCGTTTGTTGCATGTCATAGTTTTTTTTATTTTATGCTTTGGTTGCTCCTATTTGTACTAAATGTTATGGTACTACTGTTTACAGGATTTAACTCTTTATTCCTGTATAAGCGATTATATCGTTGCTATACCCAATTGGATGGGTTTGCTTTTGATCATGGAAATGTTGAAAGAAAGACAGGCCTTTCACTGGAAGAGTTCCTTCAGCACTATGATGCACATAAACCTGTATGTTGTTGATCTTGTCTAAGAATGTAGCTGAACGTCTATTTTTTATATGTTAGCTATTTCAGAGAATTGCCAATCATTTTGCTCAAAGGAACATGTAAAGAATCAAGATTCTTGAATGCTACTCATGACTTATGTCCGGTAGGCTTTCCTTTATTACGATTAGTATTTAAGAATTATGCTCATGTAGGTTCTAGTGTCGGGATTGGCTGATACTTGGCCAGCAAGGAAGGCCTGGACTCCGGAACAGCTGTTAGTCAAATATGGAGATACATCTTTCAGAATCTCTCAAAGGAGTGCTAAGAAAGTATCCATGAAGTTTAAGGATTACGTCTCCTACATGCAAGTACAACATGATGAAGATCCCCTCTACATCTTTGATGACAAGGTGCATTGTCTTACTTGAATTGCTTTCCTACCTGCCTACTTTCTATAGATACTTTATAAGCAATACGACTTAAGGATTGCAGTTTGGGGAAGTTGCACCAGATTTACTAGAAGATTACAGTGTGCCTCATCTATTCCCAGATGACTACTTTGATGTACTAGATAATGATCAGCGACCGCCTTATAGATGGCTCATTATTGGACCAGAGAGGTCTGGCGCATCTTGGCATGTTGATCCAGCTCTTACCAGTGCCTGGAATACTCTTCTGAGTGGCCGCAAAAGGTAGATGTCATAAATTTGTAAGAAAATTGTACCCTGTTCTAATGCATTGACCTATGTCCTTGTGACTCACTGTTATTAGTATTTTTCACAATGGTTTTCTATTTAAATTTAGTGGTAGGTATGCTCTGTAATCTACTGTCAAACTAGAAAAATGAGAGAATGGGTGCAATCTTTGATCATTTTACCATAAAAGATTTTTTAAGTTCCCATAGTAGGTGTTTACAATGACGGCAATAGTGGCTTAGAATCATCCATGACGACAATAGTATTGACGTATACGTTACTGTTATGTGAATAGATGGGCACTGTACCCTCCTGGAAGAGTACCTTTGGGTGTGACGGTGCATGTAAATGATGAAGATGGTGATGTTGACATTGAAACACCATCATCATTGCAGGTAATATTGTGTACAAATCTAACTATCAATTCAGTTTGTTGGCGATGCTTTTCATATCTGTATAGCGTTGTTTAAATAAACACTATTGTCATCTGGTGTTTTTTTCTTCAGTGGTGGTTGGATTTCTACCCGCTTCTTGCTGATGAAGATAAGCCAATAGAATGCACGCAGCTACCTGGCGAGACTATTTATGTCCCAACTGGATGGTGGCACTGTGTTCTGAACCTGGAGACGACTATTGCTGTAACTCAGAATTATGTGAACTCAAAAAATTTTGAATTTGTATGTCTGGATCTGGCTCCTGGTTATCAACATAAAGGGGTTTGCCGTGCTGGATTGCTTGCTCTTAGTGAAGGCACTTTAGATGAGGAGAACTTATGCATGAATGACAATTTGAGCTGCTCAGAACTGACAAGAAAGGAGGAGAGAGTCAAAATTGATGAACACATGGAGGACTCAAACTGTGAAATTACTACAAATGGGGGTTCTGAAAGTCTTGTAAAGTCTGATATAGAGTTCTCTTATGACATAAATTTTTTGACCATGTTTTTGGACAAAGACAGAGACCATTACAACTCCTTATGGAGCACAAGTAATTGTATTGGACAGAGAGAGTTGAGAGATTGGTTATGGAAGCTTTGGATTGGGAAACCTGGACTAAGAGACCTAATATGGAAGGTAGTAACTTTCTTCTTACTTTGGTTATTTGACTGTTTGCTTTCTCACTTTTAGAAGCTATATTGCATACAAAGGATTAAAAAGTATGGAAGTCGCCTAGAAATCATCTTTTCGTAGCTATTAGCACCATTTTTTAATTTAAACTTATTGCCATGACAATTGTGTGTTTCATGCACAATCACACAGAAGCAATAGTTCCAATGGCATAGTGATGGCAATAGGTCATCAGTTCAACCCTTGCTGAAGCATTTGTTTATCTCATGTATTCTGATTTTTAGGAACATGTGTGTGTGGTGTGTATGTGGGTGTGTACAAGGATATAGTTTTTATTACATGATATGCTGGAATTTCAGGGAGCTTGTATTGCATTAAATGCCAGTAAATGGTCCAAGTGCATGGAAGAACTATGTGCCTTTCACAACATTTCTTTGCCTGCAGATGAGGAGAAGTTTCCGGTCGGCACGGGTAGCAATCCTGTAAGTGATTATACTATTAAGGTTTTTTTTCTTTTTGTTGTTACAGTAAAGAGCATGGTGGCAATTTTGGTATGCGATATTAGCTACTCTAACTTGAAGGTTTTAATTATAATTTCCTGGAAAAAGGTATCTTAGCATGATGCAATTCACAATTCCAACAGGTTTATCTTGTTGCTGATAATGTGGTCAAAATTTTTGTGGAGGATGGGTTAGAAGCTAGTCTTCATGCATTAGGAACAGAGGTATTAGATGACTGAGCTATTATGTCTTGGAGTATGCTTTTAAATGTAAATAATTCTTATGGAATATGGTTTGCATACCTACAGCTTCAGTTCTACAGTCTAATGCAGAGGTCAGATTGTACCTTGAAAAACCATGTTCCTAATATTTTGGCAAGTGGGATAGTTTTTCTTGAGGAAGGATCATACAAAGTTGTGACTTGGGATGGAAAAGGTGTACCTGATGTAATTGCGAAGCATAGTTTGGTTGAAACTTTTGCGGATACTGAGTACCCATTTGGCATCTGGAGCAAAAAGCAATTTGAGTACAAGAAAGCTGGTATGTCATTAGAGGAATTGGTTGGTTGTGGTGGAGGCACAAGTATTTGGCCTTACATTGTAACGAAAAGATGCAAAGGGAAAATATTTGCCGATTTGTAAGTACCTTGATTCTGTATACTATGGTTTTAGTTTCTTTTTTCTTTTTGCACTAATAGTTGTTGATATTGCAGTTTATGTGTTTCTTCTTTAATTTTAACCTGAACCTTGTCATATTTCTCCCCGCTACCTAATGTGTACCATTTCCTTTGCTTGATTCGTTTACAATTGAACTATAAATTCAGTTGGTCCCTGATTTTGCAGAAGGGATGCACTCTCACGGGAGGAGGTTTCAAATCTAGCTTCGTTTTTAGGGAAGCAGTTGCATGAGCTCCATGTTTTGCCTGTTCCTCCTCTGAATGATTTGTCATATCTGCACATGAATACGAAACTGGAGAATGGCATAATGGAGAATATCTATGACAAAATCAATCTCCCAGCAGCATCAGAGGTTATTTTCAGAATCCTAAATAGGAAAAAGAAGGATGTATCAAGTCGGTTGGCTAAGTGGTAAGTAAATTGCAAATACTGTTAGTTATCAAATGCATCGATAGTAATCAAATGAATTTTGTATGCTGTAGGGGTCATCCAATTCCAAGCAGGCTGATTGAGAAAGTTGATGAATACCTCCCGAATGACTTTGTAGAGTTGCATAGTCTGTTGAAGGTTAGTTTTTGTTTTATAGGTATGGTTTTAGAATGATATAATAATGGTTGGTTGGATGGATGGAAATGCAGAATTGTTGGTGTTGGGTACACACAGATATAATGGATGACAATATCCACTTGGAGCATGTGGCATCATCATCATCATCATCATCATCATCATCATCATCATCATGGGTTCCTAGCTATATATATGATTTCAGCAACATGTCTCTAGGTATCATCTCATCTGTTATTCCGTTACATGCATCGAGATCGAGTATGAAATGAAAAAGTAATTTCAATTACAGGTGATCCAATAATGGATTTGATCCCGATCCATTTGGACATATTTCGTGGAGATTTGCAGCTGATGAAGCAACTTATGGAAAGCTATGGAGTTCCATTTGGGAAAAGAAGTTCAGATGAAAATGGGAAGAGGAGGCGAATATCATATCTAACCATGTCTGTGAATATCATATCATATGTAACCATTTCTGTGAATACTAATAGTAGTGAGTATTGATAAAATGGGATGGATTTGCATGCAGGTGTTATTGTATCATACACGAGGACAATATATTGGGTGCCATCTTCGGTACGTGGAAAGAATTAAGGGTCGCCAACTCATGGGAGGATGTTGAGGAAGCTGTGTGGGGCCATCTCAATAACTATTTTTAGTACACACCACACCACACCATTCTTATGATTTCTCAATAACTTGTTACGTCATTACAAATCATAGCTTACCATCACATAATAATTTGTATTTGTAGCATTGCCAAATATGGAAATTCCTTCTAACTTTTGTTTATTGCTATATTCTTAGGCCCCTTTGATTTGACACGATGCTTTTTAAGAGATTTCGTAATTTACAACTAAATGAAATTGAGTTCTCTAGTTTATAGAATTTAAAATGAAACTTAATTTCATTCTTTATAAATAAACTAGATGTGTATCCGTTTAATGCAGCGAGTTACATTTCGATTTTAATGTTTCATTTATTTTGTCTCTGTCGATGTTATAATATGATTTTATATTGAATTGTAAAAACGATAATGTTTTTTATTTATTGAAAGTATCATAAAATTCTGAAAAAAAAAGTATTGATTTTAGTATCAAATTAAATATTTAAAAGTTTTTTTTTTTTGTGTAATTTATTTAATTCTACTTTTTAATTATGATTTAATTTATATTTAGTAACGAAGTCATTTATTTTTGATTTAATAATATAATTCTTTTATAAAAATAATATTTAGTATTTTGTTAGAATTCAATGATTATCCTAAATATATAGCTTTTTTATATTTAAAATGAAAGACAAGTATTTGATTATGTTTATCTAAAATTAGTTACATAAATTCAAACATAAAACTTTAATAAATTGTACATATGAACAATATACTTGTAATCTTGTAAATAATACTTGATGCATAAAAAACAGTTTTTAAAAGTTTTTATTAATTAATTGTTACGAAACAAATATTTAAGATATTTTAAAACATTATTACAAATGATTCCTATAAAATCACATAATACACCAACTATTTTCACAAGATTTTTAAATCTCATACAAGATCATATATCTAAAAAATCAAAATTTTAGTATCCATTCTCTTTTTTAGTATCCAAGAAGTTGACTAAATATTTTTGGTTGGAAACAAAGAAACAGCAATCTTCCACATTAAGCATTCAACAGCAATATCCCATAACAAAACATCTATCTAATCAATCAAAAAGAACACCACAACCACAAAACATGAATCCAATCCATCATGAAAAAGTTGCTAATAATTATGCTGCAATGGAAGGCTTGGACGCAGCAGAAAGCCTGGATCTCTTCTTGGCTAAGCTCTCGCTTCGCTTCTCTCGCTGCTCCTTCAATCGACTAGCAAGAAGTTTCTGATATTCAGCTGCCTCCGATTTCGCCTTAGCAATTCTCTTCTTCTTGTCTGCAATTCTCGCTCGCTTCCTTTGCAAAGTCAATGGAGTCACCAATCTCTGTATTTTTGGTGCTTTACTCACCTCCTTCCCTGTTTGTTCATCAAAGATGCAAACATGTTTCTTATATACAAAATCAAACCAACACCCAAGAAAAGAAGTAGCAGGAACCCACAAAATTATAAATACCCAAAACCAAAGAAAAGGAAATCAGGCACTTACCAGCTTTGTTTGTGAATGTTCTGCGGTATGTGTTCACATACTTCCTAACATCATCCTCTTTCGAAAGATTGAAGAGTTTGCGGATTTTGGAAGCCCTCTTTGGACCTCTCATTCTAGGTTTCTCCACATCAGTCAAACCTGGAAGATCATTCTCACCCTTCTTCACAATAACCAAGTTCAGAACTGAGAGGTCTTGGCTCACGATACAACCACGTACAGACTTCCTCCTCCGTTCTCCGTTCCTCCTTCCATACCCACGAAAGCAGGGTGTTCCTGATAATACCATAATAAACATCTTCAAACTCAGCATTAAGAATTGCACCAAAACCAGCAGAAATTAGGGCATTGGTAAGCTTACCTCTCACCAGGAGAAGACGAACACGCCCTGGGGTCAAAACTCCCTGTTTCATCGGGAATCCTTGCTTGTCACATCCTCCCATGATTTTGAAGACATACCCTTTGAATTCCTATGATATATTGACATGAATAAACTAGGAGATAAATAGAAGAAGCATTAGATCATATAAGACAGACAAAGAGAAGCAATGTACCTCTCCAAGGGCATCTCCACTAACTTCCTGTGAGATCCTCTTGTCGAAGAATGCCCGGCTGGACAACAGAAGAATGAGAATGTGAGATATTTGAAAATTGTAAGGTGGAACCTGAAGTTGGAAAATTGAATAGAGCCAGCCACATTTGTCGCAAATAGGTGAAAAGTTTGTTAATCCAGGGCAAAAGGTATTTCCAAAGTAAAAATGACAAGAAAAGGATAGTTTCAAATCTATCCATGAGCTACTCTTTGCTCCACAGATTATGTAAATGATACCATCCCACAGCTACATGGTTGAACTCAAATTATCAGACTTGACTTCCATTCGGCATTCCCCCAGGACACCAAGTTACACATCTGGTGTTGCAAAACTAATATCCTATTTGAATAGCATTAACTTTGTTCCAAATATTAAAGCTCATGCTTCCTTGCTTGTTCATGTTGACAGCATAAAGCAAATATATAGCATACATGCTTACACATAATTTCAGTTTCAAAACATTCTCCATGAACATGAAGTACAAGTATTTGCAACATCTTATTGTTTTAGTTTTCTACACATATCATGACAAGCAAATACAAAGACAACTCATAATCATCAACTTTCATCACTTTTAGGTTGCAAATTTTACATCTCACAACCAATACCATGAAATCACCAAAATCTTCTATTTTAATCACCATCGTAGATGACTAGTTTTGAATCAAATCAGTCAGACCAGCAGCACTGATTTATGTATATCTTACATCAATTTGAATATGTAAAATGTCATTTTCTGATTAAATATACCCAAAACTTAAAACGGAAATCTGGTGAATTGCCATAACTAAAAGCATTCAATTCACAGAATGCTCGATGACCATACCAAAGGTATTTGATGTCCCACAAACAATAGCGTTTGCCTAACAGGTTACCCTTTTGACCCAAGATTTTAGAAAATGTTCCAAAACATAACGACGCGTGTAGAAAACTAGCTTGGTAGAGGAGTTATGCATTGTTCTTTTTGATAAGCTGGAAAAGGAAATTGCTTTTAACCCCATCTTGAAACATGTATCCTTTTAAGTGACCGTTAAATATGACCCAAGAATTAAAGGGTTGAATTGTCAAGATTACATAGTGTATCTTCATGTATGTAATTCTTTTTTCCTTGTCAAGCCTGTCTATTGAATCATCTACATTATCTGACAAGCCATATTTATGTACCAAAACAATCATGGGGTAATATTTCTAAACCTTGCAAATGCTTGAATCAGCCCCGGTACCTCTTCAAATAAAAAAAGAGAATTGCAAACCAAACAACATGCAACCAGAACAGATTTATCCAATTCAATTTCTCTAATCAACCCAGCTACTTCTTAATTTCAAATTACTGCAGATCTCAAGCCTTTTGTAATCTAATTTGATATAACCCTTAACCATCGATAAGGTTCTATAAATCGAAGACTAGCAATGGAGTCGTTGCAACAGAATTCACATCAATTCCAATTCGAAAAGTATTAACATTGTTCTTGACGATTGACCAAAAACCAACACTGAAACAGTTATACGGCAAGACATATCAAACCTTCCTATCACATCACATAATACATATATTGCATAAAACTGCTATTTTCACAGCTACACTTAACAATGACCCCAGTTACTAATCTAAAAACGAAAGAGCACAGAAATTGACAAAAAATTAGAACCACAGGTTATTAAGTTAAGACAACAATCAAACTTACAGTTTCTGATCGTCGTCAATCTCGAGCTTTTTCTGGCACCCGGTGGTGGGATTAGCAATATTGAACTACAAATTGCAAATAGCATTTCAGAATCGTAAACATTACTGGAAATACAAATAATTTTCGTAGTAAATTTTGCATATAAGATTCAAACCTTCATCTTCACTCAGACCCTTGAAGCTGCGGCGAGAAAACACAAGCTAGGGTTTCCGCTCAACAGTTCACAGAGTTGTGATGTGGATACGTGTATATATATATATATTCCACGCTTTTGCTAAATTTACACTTCGGGTCCTTATACCTTATAGGTAGTTTAACTCGTTATACCAATGTTTCAAAAGTTACATAAGTCCCACTTACTTTCACTTTTTACCATTTTACTCCAATTTTGAAAAAAAGAAGAAAAAAAAGGATTGCTACCATTATTGCTATCATTTTGTCAGGCCCGTCCCTTGGCCTGTTAAATCTGTCATTTAGAACAGGGCCCCAAAATTTTGGGGCAAATTTCACATTTCACACCCAAATTCCAAGCCCACCCCTTGGCCTCTATTCGACCGATCAAAAGACGCTTCCATCTCTTCCTTGGCTACTATTCGACCGATCAAAACGCCAAATCCTTCTGATTCATCGTCATCATCTCGTTGATTTTCGATTGAAATCTCCAAAAGGATCAAATACAAAGATGGCTAATGATTTGGTTTCAGATTCGCAACGACAACAGTTAGATTTTAGACGATTTTTGTATAACATGTGTTGGTTTAGTTCTCACGTTTCACTTTTCAAAATCTGAAAAGGCTATGTCTCATAATTTGCCATCACAAAATCTGTAATTTGTTTTGTTTGAGACTGAATTACTACCGGTGGTTCGAGGAGGAATGTTTCGTCTTTGTCTAATGCTCTGAACCTTGGGAGTCGCAATCCGGTTTATAAGGTTTGTTTGGATTTTAAATGATTGCATCGTTACATAGCTTATCTGATTATGCTTGAGTTTCGTAGATTTTTACTTAAAAGTGTACAAACTATAATGACTATAAGGTGGCGTTTGGTTCGCAGAATGTTTTTGGATGGAATGGAATCTGTTAAAGAAATTTGACTTTGAAGGAATTGGAATGGAATGTTGTCAGGTTTGACCACATGTTTGGTTGGCAGACATTGGAATGGAATCTGTTAAGGAATTGGAATCTGTCTATTTGGTTCACATGATGTAGATTTAGAATTGAAATAAAATATTGGTAAATGTCTAAAATACCCTTTTTTGAAAATTTTAATTTTTTTTAAAACTAAAAATAATTATTTAATATGTAAAACAATATAAAATACACAACCCAAATATAATCATAAGCCAAACGATGTTMCTAAATCGACGGTGGTCGGTGGTGGTTCAGATCGGTGGTGGTCCATGGTGGTTCAGATGGCGATGGTCGACAGTGGTTCAGATCGGTGGTGGTCCATGGTGGTCAAATAGCAATTATCAGCAGTGGTTCAAATTGACGGTGAATCAGATCAGTGATGGCTCAGATCGGCGGTGTTCGATGGTGGTGTTTGGCGGTGGTTCAAATCGGTGGTAGTCGGTGGTGGTTCAGATCGGTGGTAGTCGGTAATGGTGGTCGGCGGTGGTTCAGATCAGTTGTAGTCGGCGGTGGTTCAGATCGGTGGTAGTCGGTGGTGGTGGTTGGCGGTGGTTCAGATTGGTGGTAGTCGGCGGTGGTTCAGATCGGTGGTAGTGGTCGGCGGTGGTTTAGATCGGTGGTAGTCGGTGGTGGTGGTCGGCGTTGGTTCAGATCGGTGGTAGTCGGTGGTGGTGGTGGTCGGCGGTGGTTCAGATCGGTGGTAGTCGGTGGTGGTGGTTCAGATCGGTGGTAGTCGGTTGTAGTCAGTGGTGGTCGACGATGGTCGTATTAAGTTTTATGAGATTAAAGTATATTAGGTTAAGGACATATTTGGTATAATGAAGATAAAGATTTCATTCCATCAAAATATCATGTAGTTGCTAAGGAATGTTAAATTTCTTTATTTGTGGAATTTGTAGGATTTTGAAGATTCTTTTCGTGAAAAAGAATGAACCAAACGAGGGAATGGAAATTGGTCAATGGAATTCAACATTCTAATTCCATTAGATTCCTCCAGAATCTGCGAACCAAACGCCACCTAATATTGTGGCAATGGAGTCTCATTGCTCATTAGTGTTAGCAGTAAACATGTTTATTGTTGCTGGGAGTGTTTTGATTGTTTATCACATCTATCAAACATGTTTATGTTGATGATCTTGGGGCATGCGTTAAACAGGCTTATTATGACCATTGTTTTTTTTTTTTTTTGAAAAAAAACAAGTTGTTGCTTGGAGTGTTTTGATTGACCTCTTCAACTTAGCAACTTTCTTGTTGGTTAGCACAAGTTATTTGGGAATAATGTACCAGCAAGAAGATCAAACATTTATCCCAAATTAGTTAGATTAGGCTAAAAATTAAACAAAATTTACAGTCATATTGATACAAGGAAGGTGTAATTCTAAAAAGAGGGAACTTATTATTTTTGCCAAAGTTCCTTCCCATCTTATTGCAACTATAAGCACCAGTTATAATTTGTTCCAATGACAAGAGACTACTCCTAGTCTAGGATTTCCTATTTTAGGCATAGCAAGTTCAAAAGGAATGGTTTCAACCAGAAAACTTCATAGACGGCATCTACTGAAGTCAAGTGGTGAACACTCCCCACATAATGATTTATTTCATGTGGGGATTGACTTTGAGTGGTCGTCGATTTTAATCAAATTCTTAATTTTTTATCCATTGTTATTTGTTGAGTTCAACAATCAACCTAATTTGTTACCCATTGTTGATTGTTGTTCGATTTTAATCTAATTCTTAATATGTATCTATTTTATCTTATTTTGCAGTGAAAACAAAAGCTTTGGGAGTTGGGACAAGGGAGAACCGAAAATTAGTAGCCATATTTTCTCACTCAGGTTGTGTTGTTTCTTACTGCTTTTTACTTATTCGGTTTCAATATGTCTTCTATGGTTAGAAAACACGAGTCTGGATGTCAAAAGCGTAAAAAGAAAAAAAGAACTCAAGAGATAATAGAGTCTCAAAAAGGATCAATTGATAAGTTTGGCATAAAAGAATCAAAAGCTTCTCTTGATAATGAGGATACTTGTGTTAATTTGAATAACACTCATATTGATGCTAATGTTGATACTACTAATGTTGATCCTAGTGTTAGTTTGGATGATATTCATTTTTTTAATGCTTCTAATGATGTTAACGCTTCTACGGATGTTAATTATGTTTTTAATACTTTTGATATATTTGATCCAAGAAATTAGGATGCTTTAGATTCTAAAATGATTGATGTGCTAGTTGTAAAGGACCCTAAAAGATATTTGTCTGTTCAAAAGGGTTCTAAACGATTTTCTACCACATGGTATACTAGAATTTTACCGAATGGGGAAAAGTGTGACAGAGATTGGCTTGTATATACGGTAGAGCTCGATAAGGTATTTTATTTTTGTTGTAATTTTTTTAAAAAAAGACATAAAAAGTCAGTTAACAAATGACGGATTTGGGGATTGGTCTCACTTAGCACTAGACTTAAGGAGCATGAGACAAGCATAGATCATGTAATTAATATGAAAACATGGTATAATTTGCGCTTAAGACTTCAAAAGAATCAAACCATAGACAAAGTTGCTTAAAGCCAAATAGAGAAAAAAAGTCATTGGAAGAAATTTTTGGTAAGATTTGTTTCTATTGTAAAATTTCTTGCAAAACACAATCTTTCATTTCGTGGCACTAATGGAGGATTGTATGAAAGTAGCAATGGTAATTTTTTAGGCTTGATTGAAATGTTGGCCGAATTTGACCCAATTATTCAATATCATGTTCAACGCATTACAAATGATGACTTGCATTTTTGCTATCTCGGTCATAGTATTCATAATGAGTTAATAGATTTGCTTGCTAGCAAAATCAAGTCTAAAATAATTAAGAAGGTAAAAGAGGCAAATTATTTTTTCCATTATTCTTGATTGCACTCCCGATATAAGTCATCAAGAACAAATGTCATTAATACTAAGGTATATAGATATCTCTTCCAAAACTGTTAGCATCGAAGAAACTTTTCTAGGATTTTTAAAGGTAAATGATACCACAGGCCAATGTTTGTTTGATGTTTTAAAACTGAATTAAAGCGTCTTGGTCTAGATATATATGATGTGCGAGGACAAGGTTATGATAATGGTTCAAACTTGAAGGGAAAACATCAAGGAATACAAAAAGAAGCTATTAGATATAAATCCTAGAGCATTTCATACTTCTTGTGCTTCTCATAATCTTAATTTGACTTTGTGTGATATAGCCAACACTTGTGGTAAAGCTAGACTTTTTTTGGTATTATTCAACATATATATATATATATATATATATATATATATATATATATATGATATTTGCTAATTCTACTAAAAGATGACAAGTGTTTAAAGATAATGTAAAAGGATGGACAGTCAAGTCGTTGTCAACGATTCGTTGGGAGAGTCATATTGATGGTGTAAAAGTTATAAGATTTCAAGTAACAAATATAAGAGAAGCTTTGCTTGAAATAGCTGAAATTGATAATGATTCAAAAATTAGAAGTGAAACAAAGTCTTTAGCACAAAAGAAACTTAGTGATTTTGAGTTTCTGGTGTCAATAATAGTTTTGTATGAGATATTATATGCAGTAAATTTTGTTAGGAAATAGTTATAGTCAAAAAATATGTTGATTGATGTTGTTATTGAACAAGTTAAGGGAATGATTTCTTTTTTTGAGAGGTATAGAGAAACAGGGTTTTTAGATGCCATAGAATCAGCAAAGAAAATTGTTATTGAATTGAATATCGATCCATTATTTCCTCGTAGACGTGAAATTTAAAAAAAAAAATACATTTTGATGAAAATTCGAGTGATGCATCTGAAAGTACTTCATAATATGTTGAGGAATCATTTAGAGTTAATTATTTTTTTGTGTTGTTGATCATGTAATTGTTTCACTCAATAGAAGATTTGAACAATACCAAGAATATGGAGTGTTTTTGGGTTTGTATTTACTTCTGATTAGCTCCGTTCTTTGGATAATACGTGTTTGAAGTCTTCTTGTACTAATTTTGAAAATACACTAAAGGGGCAAGACCAATCTGATGTAGATGAGAATGACTTGTACGTGGAATTGAAGTTACTTCAAGATCATTTACCAAATC